AGAAGACCGACTTTAGTGGTGGCTATTTTAGGAGAACTTCTGCTCCCATGCCATCATCGTCTCCAAACTGTTCGAGACGTGGCATTTGTTAGACTGATGGAAAATGAAAGAAGAGCTTAACATGGATGCTTCATCAATGTTTTTTAACTGATGACTCTAGTATAAAACAAATAAAGCCAATACCTTGAAGGTTCAGTGAGAAAATGATGTAATCTGAGTGCTGCATTAGAAGGAAAAATATATTCAGCTTTTATCGACAAACAAATAAATACGATATGATAATTTTCAAGATATATTTCACAGAAAAACTATAATTCCTTCAATAGATTGAAATGAACTAAGAATGTTCCTTCAATACAATATGCAAAACCATAATCAAACCTTCACCAAGTCTAATAACCGCACTATACACATGAGCAACATGAAATTTAACAGAAAAACAACTCAAGAAATGAAGAATCATTCAAATAAATCAGTTCAAAATTCCGAATGATCTTTAAACCCAAAAAAAAACTAAAATTCATCAATATCATTGAAACAAATATGATAATAAGCTTTACCTGTGACTTTAACTGCCATCTTCGTGCTAGAGTTAGCTTTTGCGCCATAATCGTAGCAGCCATAAAGTAAAAAAGGATATCTTCAGTGAAACCTTGTCAACCTAGATACCATTTTGATGTTTACTTGGTCCTATCCGCATATGCTTAGCTGCTCTATCATCTTCTCCAACATCTCTAAGAAACTGACCAGACATAAGTGATTGAGATTCACATATGCTTAGTTGCTCTAACTTCTTCCACAACATTTCAGTGCTATCATCTCTTTTATCAATTACTTCTTCACCTGTATATTTCCTTTTCCTCGACCCTTCAGGGCGATCACAGTGATTGTGCTGATCTGGGAAAGGAAGACAAGCTGACTTCAGAAAAAGAGTCATGTAGAGGACTTCTTCATATGCGGTGAAAGCAGAGGTCTTCGTCACAGTACCAAGAAAGTCTTCCTGATTCACTGATACAGATTCGTATTCATGATCTTCTAATGTCAAGCAATTCAGATTCCGATTGTCTTCTTTGTCTGATTCTTCGTCGTATAAACGTGTTTGCCAGTCTTCTTCTCCAGATCCCCAACATCTGATTCCCTCTGGTTCGTCCGTCAAGATCTTGACACCACATTCAAAAAGTTTATTATCGTCTTTACAATAATTTGATCTACACTTGAATTCAAGCACTATCTCTTTGCTCACTTCAGAGGGATCCATTAATGGCAAGCTAATGACAAATATGAGTATATGTTTCCTGTTTATGAAGGTAACTTTTGGTAAGAAAGTCGTTATAAAGAACATATACTTTACTGAATTGCCAGAGAATTTGCAACTCCAGTCTTGATCTAACCAGAGTGTTGGCACCACAAGGCAAACCTGGACTATGTTGAAATCGGAAGGACCAACTGTTGAGGAATCTCCTCTAGCTCGATTACCAATGGAATCCTTATATCTGTTGAAATCAGATCGAGGAATTGTTACCTTAGTTCCTCTGCCTCTGTAATCAAACTCTTCAGGTACTTCTATTTCGGGTAACAAAGTAAACCCCTTGAAACACAATCTTTGGATAATCGCTCGTTTTGCTTGTCGACCCAATCTGAAGCAGCTACCAAAATAGAGATCTGCTTCTGGGATGGTTAAAGGGACGCTTACTCTCTTCAGTGATTCACAATTACTTGCAAATAGCTCACGGAGCGAATGAGGGAGCTCTGGCAAAGACTCAAGTCTTTTGCAGTCTGATATATTAAGAATTTTTAAGTTATGGAGACCTTTGATGCAGTCTGCAATCCTCTCAATCTGACTATCCCTGAAGTTTAGCTCTGTTACACTAGTGGGGAGATGTGTTGAGAAGTTCTTGAGATTTTCATTCTCTGATATTTCAACTTTTGTAAGATGAGAGCAATGCCTAAATGATACAGGCAACTCTTCTACCCCTGTCGTCTTTATACTGAGATTCATGATGTTGGTTGGCATTTCTGGAAAAATTCTCAATCGTGGGCAGTTATCAATATAGAAATATTTGATAGATTCCAAATTGATGAGAGTTGGAATGACCTGTAGACTTTTGCATTTATACATCAATAAGTCATATAGCTTAGGAAGATTCACAACTGAGGATGGAATCTCTACCAAAGCTTTGCACCCATTCACATATAATGTCTTCAGATTCTTAGCTTTTGAAAGGTCTGGGAGTTCCATCAAACAAGATGACCAACTCAAATCCATCTCTTTGAGATTTGGTAGTTCCTAGATGTGAAAAAGCAGAACATAATGAGAACTTACTTTGTCATTTCATTTTAAACATTGTTATGTGAATATTGCTATTATCAAATATCAATTATCTCATTCCCATAACTAACCTGAGTTTCTTCCCATAGCCTCTCGAGCTTGCTATTATTCATATTCAGTATGACGAGATTCTTGGGGTAAAACTGAAAAGATTTTCTCGGATATGACTCCCAATCTAGTAACCTTAAGCTACATGGAAACTCCATATTCTCTGGTACGTACAACTGTCTGTCTCCGCCATATTTCCAACCTTTGACTTTTAGGATATGAAGCTTGTACATTCTTATAAAAGCCTTCTCGCTTATATTTAATCTGTTGACCTTTGCTATGTTCAGTGATACACCTAACACTGATCCAGTACCCTAATAAAAATTCCAAACTATAACTTGTTAGTGGCCATAGATAATCTGCTTAAACAATAACATGGAAAAAACGCAAAATGCCTTAATATTAAGAGAACTTACGTTTGCCTCTTTTAGAACATCACAAACATCATCGGGATCTTCTAGAATCTTCCGTTTGGAAAGTTCTTCATTGGAATTAACTTTTTTACCCATTACCTGTAGCAAATTGTGCATTACCACCGTACCACAATCTATATGTATGAGACATCTATCAACTAGGTTTTTCAACCCAAGTCTAACATCCAATACGTCAGTATTGCGGAAAGTGGATGTCACATCATCAACACGTTTATAATTGAAGAATACTGCAATGAAGCGAAAAAGAAGTCCATCTTCCTCATGTAAACTTTCATAGCCCACTTTCAATACACTCTCAATTCTTCCATCGAGAGAACTTTTAAACCTTCGCAGTTCATCATTCCACTCACCATGGCTACTTGCCCGCAATGATGACCCCAAAACACAGAGAGCCAATGGAAGGTTGTCACAAATTTCTACAACTTCAGACGCAAGATCCATAAACCCATCAGGTGGAGAGGTTCGTTTAAAAGCATAAAGACAAAAGATCATTAGAGCTTCTCTTTCTGATGGAAACCCCACTTTGTATATAACATTAATACCATGCTGCTTCAAAATGTTTTTGTTTTCAGTGACCACAATGACCCTACTTCCCGGACCAAACCACGAAATATCATGAGCCAAAGCGTCCACTTGAGCTACACTCTCCACATCATCAAGAATGATAAGAACCTTTTGATATTGAAGCCTTTCTTTTATCAATCCTAAATGACTTATTTCCATACCATTTTGTTTCAAAACTTTTGAAAAAAATTCCTCATGTAAACGCAACTTGAAAGGATACTCATCATGACCAATCTTATAGTTCTCCCAAAGTTTGTCCACATAACAACGATTGTGAAACTTACCAGAGTGGCGACTATATAAAGCTCTGGCAATGGTACTCTTACCAATGCCTGCAGGACCAGAGATTCCAACAATCTTAACTCCAAGATTATCTAAATCAAGCAAAGACTCCATTTCCCTCACATGATTGTCTAGTCCAATCTTGCCATCAAAATCCTTACACGGTGTGAAATTCAGTTTAAGTGAGACATCTCTTGCAATCTTCTCTATCTTTTTTGCTTCATCGTCCCTAACAAAAAGAAACAGAAAAAATTCATAAAGACACTTTCCTCTGTTTCCTAGCTGCACATAAACCACCCAATTATGGCTTTCCTCAACAATTAATTAAACACACTCACAAAACATTTATGACCAAGATAAACAACTAAACACGTTTTAAGAAGCAATAACAAATTTTGACTAAACATAACACGAATCGAAACGACTACAAATTCTGATCAAGAATTGATATATATATAACTATAATCAAACTATTTCAGTTCATCACAACTTATTACATAATACATACATTAGCAAAATTTATGTCCCACGAAATTAAAAGTATAAAATTAGTAACAATAATCAAACTCATAAGAAAGAGAAACTGTGATTAATTAAAGGGATTACAAACCAGTTTTGGAAGTGTTCTCCCGCTATGTTTCCCACATAGTTCAAAGCTTTGCTCCATTCTTGCTTCTTATCCTCCGTTTTATGAGCACAAGTTTCCTTGAAAGCGATCCCAAAATCTCCGGTTTGTTTGCGAACATCAGAAGGATCTACTCCGTAGAAGACAGTCATCACGATTTGCCCATATTTTTTTTGGCAATCGACAATGTCCAAAAGCTCATCCAAACACCAACTGGAAGATGCATAGCTCTTTGTGAGCAATACGATCGCGATCCTCGATTCTCTAATGGCTGTCTTGAGAGATGAGGCAATGGTGTGGCCTCTCTCCATCCATTGATCATTGAACATGGTAATTCCATTGTCGCGGAACTGTTTACGTAAATGGGTGAGAAGTGTCTGACGGACGTCTGGTCCATGGAAGCTAGTGAAGACATGGTATCTCCACTTGCGAGGTGAAGAAGCCATGACAGGTGACGAAGAAGAAGAAGCCATGAGAGATGATCTTAAGTGGTTAAGAAATGGGAATATGGTAAAGCTGTGTTTACTTATAGAGAGAAAGAGAGAGAGAAATGGGAAGTTTCTTTGCAAAGTTTCGTTGAAATGTTAATGTATAATAAACGCGTAAAGAAACTTACGCAGCAAGATGTGATTAGGATAAGCATTTTATGGAGGAGAAAATAGCAAAGATGTATTCACTTATTGTGAGAGAGAGACATCTTGGTTGTTTTTTTCCAAAGTAAACGAATTTTGCCAAGTACATGGCCTACTTAATGTCTTTTTGGAAAACGCGTGATTAAAGAAGAAACTTTCAAGTACTGTATCTGCATGCAACCGTATTAGTTTTTATCGTTAACTTCTAAAATGGTTTGAAAATCTTTTCCTAGTCAGCTTCTGTTCTAAACTTCTTTTAAAATGAAGTTTCTTCAAAATAAATATCTATATATATAAAGTTAACTTTTTCTCCCTTCTCCTTAAGCCACATCATCATCCACCTCATTTTATTATTTAATTTTTAAAATTAATTATACCATTTTATCATTTAATTTTAATATTTAAACCTATGTAAATAAGTTTTTCCAAAATGAATATGAAAGATCTTTTTTTATATTATACATTATAAAACTAAAAAAGATAATTGATTAAGAGTTAAAAAAAACTTACTAATTATCGATTATACTAACACATATATAAATAATAGATTATAGTTTTTAGTGAATGTTTAAAATATATATATGATTATATTTACACAATGTAAACCTCAATATAATGGGATTTAACGGGAATAAAACAAAAAGTAAGAAATTTTGAGAATATAAATCTATCTAATTTATGTCTCAAAAAATTTTCTAACATAAGTGAGATAGGTCGGACCGAAACATGAATTCTTATTTTTTATAAACATATAAAAAGGTAAAAAGAAAAATAATATTTCCTTAAAAGTTTCCAATATGAATTTAACTATTTGTTTCCAATACAACACATATGTTAAACTAATAAAAAAAAATAAAAAATTAACTATATTTCATAAAATTGAAAATATAATAAAACATTATTAAATGAAATAAACTAAATTTAAAGTAAATTATACTAATATTTTAAATTTAAAAATTGTTCCATATGAAAAAACAAAAAAATATATAAAACATAAAATCAGAAAAATATATAATAGTATATAAATGATCATTACGAGATATAAAGTACGACAAATCCAAAAAAGGAAAATGTAAAATAAAAAATAATAAATTATGACAATATATAAAGAGATAATGTAAACAATTAAAAATACAACAATCCGCCCAAAACTCACAAATCATGTTCAAATTTCATGCCAACATATAAAAGGGCCTAAAATATTAACATCTAGATCTATATTTGGTAAAAACCCTAATAGCACACGTTTCTCAATGATTCTCAACCGCACTTCCATTTACGCCCACACTTCGACTTATACTATACACACTTAATTTGTCAACGACTAATGAAGCTAAAACTCAATAGTTTTTCTATACAAACACAATTTAAGTTTTAAAAAAGTAAAATATGGTATAGTGAAAAAAATAAGTATGAAATAAAATACGAACCAATTACTCATAAACAACATAATAAACTCCCGCGCGTAGCGCGGACAACCGACTAGTATATATATAAAGTTAACTTTTTCTCTTTTCTCCTTAATCCACATCATCTTCCATCTCATTTTATTATTTAATTTTTAAAATTAATTATACCATTTTATCATTTAATTTTAATATTTAAACCTATGTAAATAAGTTTTTCCAAAATGAATATGAAAGGTCTTTTTTTATATTA